AAGAAAGAAAGAAAAGAAATCTTAGATGGACTTCAAGGGCATTATGCTAAGCTAAATAAGTCAGACAAAGAAAGACAAATACCATATGATCTCACTTATATGTGGAAATGTTACATACACACACACACACACACACACACACACACACACACACACACACAAGCTTGGTGGCCAGAGTTGGGAGAAGGAAATAGGAAAAATGGGTGAAGGGAGTCAAAAGGTATATGCTTTGTTATAAGTCACAGAGATGTAATACACAGCATGGTGTCTAGAGCTAATAATGCTGTATTGCATATTTGAGAGTTGCTAAGAATAGATCTTAAAAGTTCTCATCACAAGAAAAAAAAACTGTTTTGTAACTACACAAGGTGATGGATGTTAACTAGATTATTATAATCACTTCACAATGTACTATTCAAACATTGAATCATTACGTTGTACACCTGAAATTGATACAATGTTTTATGTCAAATACACCTCAAGTAAAAAGGTAAATAAGGATAGAAAGACAAGAAAAGAGAAGAACTGATTTCCAGAAAAACAAAAAAAGGAAACCATCCTGGGGTAAGTGGTGAGGGGTGAGGGATAAGCCAAGCTCTATAAACCATTGCTATTAGCAGAAAGGGGAGGGAGGAAGGGAGATAAAGTTACCCAGAGGAACAAGTGGTGAACACCAAGCTTCATACAGTAGTTGTCAAAACAGAAGTTTACTTCTACTGGTCTGATATATAACCACAGAGACTAATAGATTGTGACCAGGAAGATTGGGCGAATAAAGAAAACTGGAAAAAAAACAAAAAAAATCTCTCCTATTTTCCACTCTCAGAGAGAGATGGTTTCCAGACAAAAAAACAAAAAACAAAAAAACAAAGAGCAATTTAATCAAACACACACACACACACACACACACACACACACACACACACACACACACGGGGCCTGGGTGGCTCAGTTGGTTGAGCAGTCGACTATTGATTTTGGCCTACATCATGATCCCAGGGTTGTGGAATCAAGCCCCACGTCAGGCTCTGCACACGGAGCATGGAGTCTGCTTGGGATCCTCTCTCTCTCTCCCTCCCTCCTCCTCCCTCTCCTCCTCCCACCCTCCCTCTCCCCTGCTTGCACTATCTAAAAATTAAAATTAAAAAAATCTTAAAAAAAGGAAACACACACACACACAAACTATAAGGTAGCTATACAAATACACAAGGATGCCACAAATAGCCTTGTGATTAGCATAAAATGAAGATGCTAAAAATGTTTTAGAAGTGTATTTGACATAGAAAGGTGCTCATGACATAAGATTTAAAGTGTAGATTACAAAATAGAATGTTCACTATAATCCAATTTTCTTGTGTTTTAAATTCTGAAGGCATAAAAGTCTTAAGGCATTAGTAAACATTTAGATGCATAATGGGATTTTGAGTAATTTTTATTTTCTTCTTTTTGTTTCTCTGTAGTATTCTCTAATTTAACTATACAAAATGATATCTAAGAAATTAATTTTTTTCTTTTAACAATCTGCTGCAATTAATTAGTAATTTGCTTTTTCTTGATGTATAACCATCAGAAGTAACATCTGTTGCTGTAGAAGCCGTGTGCTGCTCAGATTTACCTCTCCAGCCATAGCTGTTTCCATGTGGATGGATAAGGAGAAGTCCAGTCTGATCGATGATGTGCAGACCATTAATATCCGGCCACCCTATGCTCCATCTTACAGCTCATTAGAAACCTCTATCTTTAGAGGCACCTGGGTGGCTCAGTCGGTTGGGCGTCTGACTTTGGCTCAGGTCATGATCTCACAGTCTGTGAGTTCGAGCCCCACATCAGGCTCTGAGCTACAGAGCCTGGAGCCTGCTTCAGATTCTGTCTCCCTCTCTCTCTGTCCCTCCCCCGCTTGCATTCTGTCTCTCTCTCAAAAATAAAAGAAAAACAGGGGCGCCTGGGTGGCGCAGTCGGTTAAGCGTCCGACTTCACCCAGGTCACGATCTCGCGGTCCGTGAGTTCGAGCCCCGCGTCAGGCTCTGGGCTGATGGCTCAGAGCCTGGAGCC